CATTGAATAACCTTTAAGCACAAAATTGGCTGAGTTCTCTTGGGAATTATATGACATGTTGTTGGACGATGATGTAAGTATTTTCTTTGGTCATTATGACTCTTAAGCAAAATGCAAAAGCAGGATGTATGAGGACACAACTATAGATACTACAGATGCAGATGTGGAGCTCAACACAATATTGCCTTTCAGGAGGGGGGCTGGAATGTTCCAGTGCCACCTTATTAACTACGTAACGGCTTGTTCATTCAGTTTCTTTAGAGAGCCATAGATTTTCTGGGACATTTTGTCGGGTTGAAATATACACACACAGAACAAAAAACACTTTCACGTTAAAACAAAACAAAACAACACAAAAAAAAAGAAGTGGTCATGAATAACTAAGAAGTGTGGCACTGAAATATATAGTGCATTTAGAATTACAAATGGAAAAAGTCTAATTTTAAGGGGCTACGCAAAGGAAAAGTGCTTTAAAACAACTGAGACACCAGGTGAAGTTTTGCGCTTAGGCACGCATCTAACATCCCATTTCTTTCAAAGGGCTCCCTTCCCTCTTCCCTTCCTAACTAGCCCTTCAATTTATAAATAATAATTTTGGCCATTTTTAAAGAGAGAATGAAATGTCCAAAGTGTCTCTAAATTAACAACACCACTTACTCCAGACAGCATTGCCTTTAGCAGCTCCTAAAAACTTAAGAAAAGGATCTTAAAGCAGGAAGCTTAGGGAGCTCATAAAACTGTTGTTGGAGCCAGGAACACATAGCATATTTAATCTGCAAACTGTGGGAGTCTACAGTGATTTCAGCAAGATCTGAGGCATGCCCTCAAGGTTTGCTGGGATCTGGGATTAGGGGGTTGATAAGAACCTCTACTACCCATGGACATGTTTTTCTTCTGCAGTTAAACACAAATGCATAGAGACGTTTGACTGCTGCTTGGCGTTACTGCTCAAGTTATATAAAAGCTTTGCAGCTCCTTTTGCTGTCAATATATCAAAGTTTAAAAAAAAAATCATCAAAGTGTGAAATTTCATTTAAAGTCTTCGCCAGTCTACAGCTCTATTTCACAGGCCCATCACATAAAAGTAAAGATGAAAAATACACTGAAAGTACTTGAAAAAGTTTGCAGCAGTACCCCTGCCCTGTTGTTGTTTATTCTGTCTCCCTTTATTTGCTTTGAAACTCGAACAAATCAATTTTCATCTCGAAAAATGACATGAAGTGAAGGGCAGCATCTTCTACTAGCCTTTAATGAAACGACAATCTGAAGTCATTATGAGAGTGGAATATTTTGCTTAACAAATTAAATTTATACATACACACACACACACACACACACACACACACACATATTTCCTCTCTAGTCATTTCAGCATTGTAATTGCTTATGATATAAGTTGGCAGAAAATTTCTTGAATCTTCCAAAACAAGTCAGACCGACTATGGAATATGAATGCCAGCAAAACTAAAACCTCCTTCAAAGAACTCTTCAGCTGGGGATTTACAACAATTGCATAAAGAAGAAAAGTCTGACTTTTAAGATAATCTACTATAGTCTAAAAGCATTAACATTCCATTGCTAAGGTTTTCTTGAGGATTTCATGACTCAGTGATTCACTTTTCCTTCAAGACTCGTTTCTCTTAGTCCATTACTGTCTCCTTATAAGTGAGTGCATGGAACAATGATCATTAAATTGTTTCCTTTCCTATGCTCCCAACCAAACCCTAGCCTCAAAAAAGTGGGGGGTGGGAGAGGGGAAATCTCAGTAAAGCAGGAAACCTTACATCCAGGGAAGGACCTTGGAAAGGCTAAAGCACAGAGGAAGTCTGAAACCCTTCCAGCATACAGGTAATTAAGAAAACGGGCCAAGAAACAAAGGAAAGTCCAACTTTTAGGCTCGGGCATCAAATTGATAAATTAATGACTCTTTCATTAAATAAGTAATGAAATGACTCAACAGAGCCATTTTTCATCAGTATGGAATTTTCTCATTTCTGTCTGTAGTCCTTTGCAAATGAGGCATACGGTAAAAGTGTGTTTATTTTCAGGGCTCGATCAAGGAATACACACGTCAAAGGTACTGGGAAACGGTAGGTACCTGAGTTGGACCAACTAGCCTATGAATAATAACACAATCTATACCTCATAAAGTGCTTCTGCATGTGTGAAATTTCACTAGACACCTCTCACTTTGGACTCCTTCAGGCATCTTAAACCAAAGCTTCCAGAGGCTGACTTTAAGAATTATACACCCTGAAAGGATCTCCCCTTAGGCAGGGAGTTTCTAATTAAATAGCTTTTAGTATAAAATAAACTCTCTTCTCTCTGTAAGTACGCTATTACAACTAATTTAAATGTTATTTCATGTTTGTTTTAGGTCAGACTATAGTCTAACTGGCCAAAGTGTTTGTGTATCACGTTATTAAGACCAATATTTCCTAACATAAACAAATTCTTTAGATACTTCACACAGTTTACATTGTTAGGACCAATCACCGCAGCTTTAACATTGCCCCTCAACTGAAATACTGTTCTGCTTTAGAAAAATGAAGAGATTTTGAGGTTGTTCCACTACTTTAAAACATAGCATTTTCTTCCTTCAAAATAATCTTGACACATGTAATTAAGAAACTGTCAGACTATTATTAATTTTTAATTTAAAACCTAAATGAAATAATTACAGGAATCAATCAATAAGGCACCTATTCAAATTACAGAACAATTACATAAATACTCAAAATTAATACTCTAGGCCAATTCTTGAAGATTTCAGTCTCTAATATGCTAAGACATCAAACAACGTAAAAAGTGTAACCTGGAAACGATGAATAGTTCCTGCCTTAAACAGACTGAAATGAGATCATTTCAATTGCCCATGGCAGAGGCCCCCCCAACAGCCATGCCCAACACACTTAAGCTGGAACTCTTTTTAAAAGTTAATTTAGTTCCACCAGACACACATTTCAGGGATCTAAAAAAAAAAAAAAAAAAAAAAAGGCCTCATCCAAATTTTGTGCAAAATCACATTTGGAGGGAAAAGCCTAGTTATTGGCCTAGTTATTGGGAATTTCCAGCAGAGTGCTCTGGAAAGACTAACTGGGAAGAGGAAGGAGGAGAGGAAAAGAAGAGCAGAAGGTGTTTTTTGGAATTAATGATACCAGTCCAGCTAATGGCACTGCCCATGTCTTTGCACAGGGGCCGGCCCTCCATACCTCTGGCGAAAGGGCTCTTTTACTTGGAGATGCGGACAGTCCATCATTTCAAACCGAAATGGCAGCTGGAAAATGCGGAACAGCTGACAAAGAGCTGGGAGAAAATGTTTTACATAAATACATGTACATATAAACTGGCAGAGGGCCACAAGCGCTGTACCCAAGGCCAGAATCTATTCGGCACTGCACACCAGGGAATGAGAAGTTGGGGGCAGCAGGAGTAGCGAGGGAGATGCCTCCTTAATCCTCTTTCTATGCGGGGTCAGCAAGGGAGACCTGGGTCCAGCCCCTCTCTGGATGGCATCTCCTGAAGGAGGTGCAGTCAAGGACAGGAGCACAAAGTTCAGGGAAGGCTAAAAGGCCGGGGAGTGCACTGGCGCTTCGGCATCTGGCAATCTGCTTAAAAGTCGCTTCACAAACTCTCCAAGTTTGGGGTAAATATTTACTCCCTCTCGACTTCCTCCCGCCCATTTTCCCTCAGCGACTCCAGAAAGTAACTGTCCCCTGCAGAGCGATTCATACCCAACTCTGCTCTGCGAAAATGCGGCCTCCTGAATGATTACTGCACGAGCCAGGATTACTCGAACCCCTGCACTCACTCCCTGCAACTTCTAACGCTTTTATTTCTTTTGTTTTCTTTTTTCTTTTTTTTGTTTTTTGTTTTGTTTTGTTTTTTGGGTTTTTTTGCGCTGTCCCTGTAAAGGAAAAGAAATAAAAGAATCCCAAATCATACACAGATGGTACAACTTTCACTTTTCCTCTCCAACTACCGCGGCGCGCCCCTCCGCATCCCCGCACACCACACCCCCGCCCTCCGGAGGCGGCGCGGGCTGCCGGCGGCCCCCGCAGCCGCGCTCCCGGCGCGGACCCACCTCGCCGCCCGCCGCCGCCCCCGCCCGCCACCCGAGGGGGACGCAGCCGGGCGAGGGAGGGCGCTGGGGCTCTGGGCGGGGATCGAGGGCGCGGGGCGCCGTCGCCGCTGCTGCAAACTTCGTCCCCCTCCAGGATGGGAAATTCTCCGGTCCGTCTCCGGCTTGCCGCGGGCTCAGGCACTTGGCAAGGGAGCTCCGAGAAGGAGGAAGCTAATGAAAGCCTCGCTCCGACGCCGCACGGGTTGCTCTCCAAATCTGGGCGCCTTTTGACAGCCATTTTCATTTCCTCCCGCTCCCCCCGTCGGGGACCCCTTCTCGACCCGGAGGCGCGGGCGCGGCCGCGGGAGCAGGCTGCCGGGTGCCCGGCCCGCGAAACAAAGAACTTCGGGCGGGACGTACCTGCGGCGGCGGCGGCTGTCAAGTCCCCGAACTTCCCATAGACCCGCGTCCGGGGCGCGGGCGGGCGGCTTCGGGCTCCGCGCGGCCGCGGGCGGCTCGGGCTACGGCGAGCGGCCGGGCCGGGCGCGAGGTGCGCCCGCCGCGGGCATGGTGCGGCGCGGGCGGCCGCCGGGCGCGCGGGGAGGGCGAGTCGGGGCGGCGAGTGTGCGCGAGGGCGAGTGTGCGAGCGCGCCGGTGCCGGTGGCGCTGCCCCTGCCCGCTCCCTCCCGCTCGTGCAGCTCCGGCATCGGTTTCAGGGATCGTGTAATCCGATCCCTTCTGACTCACAGGCCCTGAGTGACAGTTCTGATTTGGTTCACCCGCAGGAGGGAGGGGAAAGAGAAAGAAAGCAAGCCCCCACCGCAGTCCCCTCCTGGCATCCAATCGACTTTCTGGAAGAAGGTCCCATCCCGGCCGGGCGGCCCGCGCTGGGTGGAGGAGCCCCCCGCCCCGACCCCGCGCCGCCGGCGCTACTCACGGGGTGGAAAAGTTGTCCCTCGGCTCTCGCTTCCCTCCCTCGCGCTCCCTCCTTCCCTCTTCTCCTCCGCTTCCTCCTCCTCCCCGCGCTCCTCCTCCCCCAAGTTTTAACAGAAGTTGCCGGACTCTCCCCTCTCCTCCGCGCTCCCTTTTCCTCCGCCCCCGCCCCCGCCCCGTCCCTTTTCTTTCTGCCACTCGCCGGCGCGGTGGGGACGCGCCGAGCAGCAGGACGCCCGCCGCCGCAGGGGGCGAAGTTGGGAAAACTTGGAGTGCTGCTCGCCTTACTTTTGCTTTCTCGCTCCTTCCAGGCCGCGCCGGGGCCCGCGCTTCCCCGCCCGCCGGGTCCCCGCGCCGGGAGCGGGTCCCAGCTGCGACGCGGGCGGCGGCGAGGAGGCGGTGCGCCGCAGGCCGGGGTCGGGGGCTGGGCTGGGGGGGGGCGGGTGGAGGGAGCCGGGGCGGGTGGAGGGAGCCCAGGCGCCCTGAGCCACGCGCGCGCCTCTCCCCGCCCTCCGCCTCCTCCGCCTCCTCCGCCTCCTCCGCCCCTCCCGGGTCCTCACTCAGACATATTCATGCCCGCTCCTCCTCTTCCCCCTCCTTGACCCCGCGCCCGCTCGGCGCGCCGAGGCCCCACCCACCCGGTGAGGAGAAGGGGGCCCGGGCGTGATGTCACGGCCGCGCTCCCCGCCCGCGCCCGCGGCCCCGCCCGGACGCCCCCGCCGCCCCCACCGCACAGCGCCCCGCGAACCGTGCTGCGTCCTGTCTGCTTCCATCGCCTCCTACCCTGCCTCTGCTCTCCTTTCTCTTGCTCCCAGTTTGGGCTCCCCTTTCTTCTTTGAAGGCCTCTCTGATCACACCCCGCATTGCCCCCCCAACCTCCTCCTTTTACATTTCCCCCAAGCCAACCCTGAAACTCCCTGGCTTGCCAGAGGATGCTTTTGGAAGTTCAGGGTTTTCCTCTCCACCGGACTCATCTGCCCTTGGGGCCAAATCTGGAAAGTGGGAACTCCCACTACACAGCCTACAGTCCCCATGGGCCACTTTATAAAGGACACAAAAACAAAGGCTCCGCGGCTTTGGAGCCGGACTACAACGTGGTGCTTTCCCCTGAGCTGTAAAGTGTCTCTGTCCCTGATTTATGTGCAGCGGCCCACACTAGTGAAATTTATTTTCCCTCCTTCCTCGGCCGGGCAGGCTAAGTTCATCTGTTCCCTTTGAATGTACCCAACCTGGACCTGTAGCTGAAAAAAGGAATGGGGGGGGGGTGCGGCAAATGAAGAAAAAGAAAGAAAAGAAAACCCTGTGACTTTCCAAAATCCATTCTTCTGGGGTAAGGGAGAGTCTAAGCCACCCACCAGCCGCCAGCCATGCAGGGAGCTGCGGGTGCACTTGTGTTGACTCGCTGAGCTTCTTGACTGAAGGAAGAACGTGGGTGGATGAATGATTAGCTATTATGATTTGAAGAGCATTTTGAGATTCAAATGCTTAACTGGAGAATTTTTTTTTAACGAAATTGATGGTGGTATTCACTATTTGTTTCCTGAGACTTGTTGCTTAGCTCAAAGACATGACAGAAGGAGACCCTGACTTCAGCGTTTATGGTAGAAGCTGGAGGTAAAGTAGGGCTAAAGGTCCTTTTTAGCCATTTATTTTAAGATTTCTCTCTCTACCTTAGCACTCTTTGAAAAAAAAGAAAGAAAGAAACTACCACTTACTCATCATACAGAGCAGAGGTCTCAGGATACCTGGGTGGTGGTCCCAGCTTCCCCTCACTAACTGGCCTCAGGCCCAGGCCGGGGAGGATTTTCTGAGCCTCTATAGGCCTCTGAGTCCATCTGTGGGATGATGATAGGAAAACCAGGCCGCAAACCTCCCAGGATGTGTGTGGGTTTGCAATGAGATAATGCATGTGAAAGTATAAAGGGACACAAATGTGTAAGAATTATTATCATCTTTTGTAATTGCAGAGAACTGCAAGCTACTCTTTCCCATATATACTGCTCCAGCATCAGTCACAATTTTTTTTTTGTATTCAAGTACTGCTTCTGCCTCAATCACATGAATGCAAATAATACATCCCGATAGCCTCTTCTGTTCACCCAGTGGCAAAAATAAATAAATAAAAAGAAGACAGCCAATAAATCAACAACTTGAATAAACTAGATATTTTGGCTTTTACTTAAAACAGTCTTCTAGCACATTTTGGACCATGAAGATCTCGATTTTCAGTTTTTTAAAAGACAAGAACAAAGAAAAGGCAGCTAATCTTTCCTCTTATGCCCATCAGAATAGCGGAAAACTAAAGGGAAAGAAGATGCTGATGTCTCCTGTGTGTCCCAATTTCTTCACCTTAGATTCTTGGCAGAGCCTAACTGCTCTCTGCCTCAGTGGTAAACATGTAAATGGGCACATTTTGCAAAATAGTGGAGTTGGAAAAAAAATGATTTGCCTTAGTGTGGGTTAAACAATGCCATAGTGCTGTGACTTTCTATTTTAACACAAGAACTCTTTTTCCAAATGAAATCTTCTATGGACCTCTAAAGTATAAAAAAAGAGAGTTACTCCCGTTTTAATTGGGATGGTGGGGTCTCAGAGCCCAGCCCCCTCGGCTTTCTCCTGTCACCCACCCCTTTACTGCAGTGGCTCCTAAGACATCTCGAAAAATCCTAAAGTCACGCTGAAAACATTGGAGCCTCCCTGTAATGATAAACAGGCACTTACAGATGTACTGGGCTCTAAGGTTGCCCTTCCTCCATATCTAAAATTCCACCATTATACATTCATTTATTGCTCTCTCTCATCAGTTCTCTTTTCAAATGCAAATCTCTTAGGAAATTTTAATATAGTGAGTCCTCAAAATGATTAAGCGTATAAGACAGATTTTTTTTTTCTTCTTTGGCAAAAATTGGATGAAGTAGGAGACTTGAAGATATTTGTAGTCGTTTCCTAGGGCTGCCATGACAAACTACCACAACCTGGGTGGCTTAAAACGACAAAAATCTATTGTCTTACAGTTCTGGAGCCTAGAAGTCCAAAATCAAAGTCTCAGCAGGGCCTTGCTCCCTCTGAAACCTCTAGAGAAAGATCCTTCCTTGCCTCTTCCTGGCTTCTGGTGGTGTCTGTCCATCCCTTGCATTCATTGGCTTGAAGCCGCTTCACTCCAACTCATGCCTCCCTCGTCATATGGCATGCTTCCTGTGTCTCTCCTCTTCCTAAGGACATCGGTCATACAGGATTAGAAGCCCACCCTAGGCCAGTCTGACCTCATCTTAACTGAGTACATCTTCAACAAAACCCCTTTCTAAATCAGATCACATTCCACTATTCCGGGAGTTAGAACTGCAATGTATCTTTTTCCGGAGGGACTCAACGCAACCCAAAACAACATTGAAAGAGATGGTCAGAGGGGGGGTGAAGGATCCACAAGGGAGAAGACAAAGGATGGGCCTGAGAACAAGCCCCACATGCCCCCCCCCCCGCATGTCTCTGCCCTGTCGTGTGTGCTGTGCACAATTCCCATTCTTGCCCTTCCTTACCCCTGCAGTTCTTCCATCTCCTCACAGTGGCCCCCAATTAATTGCTGAGAAATTCCAAGGGGATATGCCATGTGTGCTGAAAAACTCCTAGCTGCACGTGACAAAATTCCAACTCAGATTGGCTGAAGTTAAATTTCAAGGAGGGGAGAGGGAAGATGTTGACTGAAAAGTCCGTATGTGTGTATGTAGGCTTCAGGCAAGGTGGAATCCAGGTGCTCAACCAATCTCTGCTGAGTTCTATTTCTGTTTTTCAGCTAGGCATTATTCACACTAATACAAACTTTCTTTATGCAACCAAGGAGGTGGCTGGACACAGCTGCATTTTACAGTCAGTCCTACTGTTTGCATTCCCAGAGAATAAGCACCTTGCCCAAAGGGACACACTATTCCTCTTGGCCAGGCAGGAGAGATAGTTGCATGCCAGGTAAACAATGAACACACATGCTGTATAAAACCCACCATGATGACTGCCATTTTCTTCCTCTTCTGTGCTGGTCTCCTCCTGTAAATGCAGGACTACCATCTTTGCTTCAGTTGCCCATCATAGGGCTGCCTGCTGGGAGGTGATGCCTTCCATCTGCCCTGTTCTCAGGCATCCTCAGTACTCTGAACTCCCGTACATCCCACGTCTGTGTGATGTGACAGATTCTCTTGGCCTTCGGAGTTATACTTGATCATAAGGTTCTGAATATGTTTTTCCTTATGTATGAATAGCTTACCAATTTTCTTTTGGAAAATAGCTCAGAAGTGCTTAGGACCTTTTTTCACTTGAGGATTAACACCTCTTTCATGTCCCTAAACTGAAGATAATGAAGGCTCTCATTTTTGCCGATGCAAACATTCACACACACCCACGTAAGTACCCACCTACCCATCCACCAGTGAGATGCTACTGTTGGGCCAAGCCTATCGGCTGCATGCTTTCTTCATTTATGGGGAGTTATTTCCCAGGAGGCTCTTCGGTCTGGCATACAAATAGACTACTTACAGATAGCATAACTAGCCTACCCAACATTTCCAAACCTTTCTGAATTATAGCAAGGGAACACAGTTTAACACTGAAACTAGGACCACTGGTGTCTCTATCTGATTGTCTCAGAAGTTTGTAGGTTCTAGTTAAGACACCCTTCCCTAGAGATTCTCAATACCTTGAAAAATGGTGGGAATTCTAAATACTATATTGCCTACATTTGAGAACCAACCAGATTCCAGAACAAAAATAAGGTTTCTTAAGTCTGTCCTTGTTCCCCTAACTGACCTGATCCCTGAGTGAGAGCAGTTAGAGAAGGTAGCCCCCCTCATTCCCTGGCCGGAAAGCCCTGACTCGCAGAGCTGTCTCATGGATGTCCTTAGGAGAAGAGGGGAACTCGGTGGGAGGCATGCAAAGAGACCAAGCAAGAACCAAGGTTCCAGACCCCAGTGTCACCCACTCATTATGCTCTCAGCAGCTCACCCTCCCCCCTCTGACCTCCTAATTTCCTAAAGTGCTCTCTTCTGGATTCCCTCCCAGGGCCATGACAAATGATTCCTAGACTGAGCTGATT